GCCACGTCCTTTCCATCTTTTGTGTCATCTCGCAATCTGGGAGGCACGCAGGCAGTTATTATCAACCGCTTTCCACGAGATGTGTGAAGGTCGGGGAGACCCAGGTTCAAACCTCAGCTCTGTCACTCGCCTCCTCTGTCAGCGTGGGCCGGTCACTTAGCCTCCCAGGACCTCACTCTCCTCAACCTGAAGTGAACACGGCCACGGGACCTTCCCAGGTGGGCTGGGGTGGGCGTTGAGCTGAATGCGTTTCGCAAATGTCCTCGATGGTGAGAATCCTCTGGGTACTTGTTAAAACTCGGATTCCTGGGTCCCGACCCAGGGCTCCCAGGGGTGAGACCTGGCCGTCTGGCAAGCCCCAGGGAGTCTTACTGGGGAAATTTGGGAAACGCTAGGCTGATTTTTATAGAGCATTTGTTGTGTGTCTGGCACTGAGCAGCTAGTATTCATCAAGCACTTAGCTGTGTCCAGTCTTTGAAGTGGGGATGACAATGGCTACCAGACAGGCCCGTCATGAGAAACAAGCAAAACCATGTGCGCCGCCCGCAAAGAATACGTCCTGAATGTATGTTGGTGCCTGTGCTTCACTGCACGAGCCAGGACTCCCTCAGGCTGGTGGAACCCCCCAGAGGCTCTCGCCAGGGGCTGCGCCTCCATCCTCCCAGCCTAGTACCCTCCACAGGAGGTTTCTCATCCTACAAACCCCAAGGACCAAGCCTCACGCAACCAGTTTGGGTTCCAGGCTCCTCCTCTCCCCAGTCTTCCTGGTCAAAGTTGGGAGTAAGCTGGTCGGCCAGGACTGGGTCAGTTGCTCATTGCAGGAAGCAGAGAGGTGGGGGTCAGCCCCGTCCGAACTGCGGGGCAGCAGTGGTCCACGCCCACGGGAGTCCCTCCGATGGTCCCCCGTAGTGTGGTGGCCAGACCAAGTGTGGTGCTTGGCGGGCAACCTCACTGATGTCCCGGCCTCAGCTCCCTGAGTCGGTCAGCTAAGCTGTCTGTGGACGCCCCAGCAGGTTGAATCCTTCTCCAGTCTCTTCCTCTGCTGACACGTTCCTGGCCTGTCTTGGGGGCCTCGGTCAGGCCGATTCAGCCTCAGACCTGCCCCCGTCTGTCCCACATCTCCAGCCCTCTCCTTGGCCCCGCTCACCCCTGGGCCCAGCCGGCCACAGGGGCCTGTCCCAGGGCTGGTCCAGGGACTCAGGGCGGCCATTGTCCAAAGCTGCTTATTAGGGACCCACATGGGAATCCTTCCAACCAAGAACAATGAGTTTCTGAATCAGGATAAAAACAGCCTTTGCAAGTCAGCAAATGAGACAAGCTGAGCTGCTCGCCCCTCCTCCCTGCATCTGTGGCTCTTTTAACACAGTGGATGAGAACAAGGTCTCCAGCATCAGAAGGCTGAGGCTTGAGGCTTCACAGCCACAAGCTGGGCACGTCGTCTCACCTCGCCGAGGCCTGGTTTCATCTCTGGCGTCTGGATGAGGATGGAGGGAGGTCACGGGGTAGCGCACGGCCCGGAGGAGAGCAAGCTCCTAGTCGAGGATCATCACAGAGCTCTCTCCCTTCTCAGGGGTGGGCCACCTCGGACACCACCGGGAAGGCAAGCCCACTGTGACATTTCTAAACAGCACGCACTCGAGGCATGGAAAACAGAGGTGTCCCACGGCCCTCGCTGCGTCGTGTGCACCCGAGGCTTGGCTGCGTTCTGGACGACACCACACAGCGCCTGCCTCTCCCAGCAGCTGGCTCCCTGCACCCGCGCCATGCAGCCGCCAGACCTGGTGCAGAAGCGCCGGCGCGGGGGGGTCTGGGCTCTGCCTGGGCTCGGCCGCTGCCCTGCAGGGTGGCCCTGGGCACGCCACTCACCCGCTCGGGGTTTTGGCTTCTTCCTTCGTCGTGATGACTGGGGATTTCTAAGGGCTTTTCCGTCTCAAAGGGTCGTCCTGTGGCATTTGCTAATCCTGGTGGGGAGACCCGTCTTCAGGGCCGCACGGACAGGGCTGAGGGCCGGCTTCAGCTCAGCGGGCTCACACGGTGGCTGCAGCTCGGGGGAGGAGGCTGGAGGAGGGCTGGCGCTGGAACAGCACACCCCTGGCTACTCTGACGCTCTTTTCTGGCTGCGAGACCTTGGGCACATCAGTTCTGAGGCACCTGTACAGCAAGGGCAGTGACGCTGCCTGAGGCGGCTGTGAGGACTCGTCAGAGGAACGAGATGCTGCGTGTGAAACGCGTGCCCAGCACACAGCAAGGTCCCCTCTTGCTGCCTCCCCCTCTGACGAGCTTCCTCTGCCTCCCTGCCACGCATGGCCAATGAAATGGGAATAGCCCAGACAGACCTGGGTTTCACCTTGCCTCCAAGTCACCAGGCCTCAGTTCCCCTCATCAGTAAAATGGGTGCAGTTAAGACCTTCTCACAAGAGGTGATGAGAACGCTCAGTAGGACCGACACAGGATTTCCCTCCCTTAGTCTGGTCAACATTAGCCCAATCGTCATCCATTTTACCTAACATTGTATAGCATGTATTTCCTGATCTACACGAGTCAACTGATCCATAAAGCCCCCATGGAGGGAGTCAGGACCAGAAAACTCGAGACCAGGCTTGAGTCTCTCGACTTCACCCCACTTCCATGTTCTTTCACCAGCTCTGGGAGGCACGGAGCACGCCTGCCTAGTTCATCCTCAGTCCCGACGCCGAGCATGGCGCCTGGCCTCCGGAAAAGGCCACCTCCACAAACCACCCCTGGAGCCAGCGGTCTGTCTGCTCCAGAGAAGGTAGTAGGTGTCAAGGAACCGCCCGGAGGGTGGGGGAGACAGTCCCCTGAGCACTTTGTTCTGGTGGAACTGCACAGGGACCAGGGCTTGCTATGGGTTCAAGGCCACATGGCTGAGAATGAATATAGGTGTGCATGTATAAGTGACCACAGGACACTGGCATAACTCTCCTGGGAAACAGGGAGCCTTGCACATGAGCCTCATCAATGTCAACTCTCTGTGGAATGACCCTGCTTGTAAGCATTTGTTTTAAGAAGTCCACAGAAAGCGTAACAGCGTGTCTGCTTCAGTGGTAAGTTAGGAACAGCCCAAACACCTTACTGTTTGGTGAGAATCAACCAAATCAGAATAGTTAACAGACCACTGCAGAGCCATTTCAGACACATGCTTTTGAAGACTCTAGTTAGAGATTATCATCCTTAACATTAAGAAAAAAGGAACAAATTCGTCTTGTACATTCCTACGGTTTTCAAGCATATATTCTTTCGACAGTCTGAACAACAAAACAATGGAAGATATTCAAAATAACATCCCAGTTTTATCGTGGGTGGCCCTTTGGCTGATTTTTAAATACTTTTTATATCTTTATCTCTTCACAACCCTCACCCCTGCCCACCGCTGCCCCCAGATCAAAAGCAGCTTTTAATGGAGATGGCACGCCACCAAGTCTCACGCTGAGACCCTGAGTATCTGACCTCAGCACCAGGCTACACACCCTGTAAGACAACGACGTCAGGCAAACAAAGTGGAGCTCCGGGCCGCCCCCCCGGCGGCCGGCAGGTCACCTGGACCGCCTCTTACCACGACCTCTGGCCTTCTGGACTCAAAGAAGCCATCCCCAAAAAATTGTATAAAAAGATTTATTGAAATTTATCAATGACAAACAGACATAAAACTCAAAGTTTGGCTCTTCTGAGGGGGAGGAAACCCGGTGCAGATGAGAACACGGGCGGGGGAACCGCGCGTCACTTCAGAGGCAATCCGGAAGAGACAGAAGGCAGACCTGCACACTGACTAGGAATCTGCAGTCACTTCGGACTTCCACTCGGTAAGAAATTCAATTTTGCGTTAGCTTTCCGCGCTCGGGTGCATGGAGAAAAACCCAGCCGACATGCAGCAGCGTCTCCTGTGCTCAGGTCTGTAAAAGGGCCTAAGCCCAGAAGGACACGTGGAGAATTCTCTGGTCATTTTGTAAAACAGAGCAGTCTAGCATCTTACAGAACAAGACAGGACAGTTCTGTTTGTTGTGTTTTGTAAGCTCTTTGACAGACGCTGGACGTGGAGGGTTAGCGTCTCCTTGCATCTCAACTGCCAGGCTCACTTTACTCCTAACTCGGAAGCCTGCTGCTCCCAGCTCTCAGCTCACCGCCCAAGAGCCACATCCGTCTTGTCCGGCAAGCGAAGCCCACCACCATCCGCGAAGAGGGCAGGAGGGTGGCAGACGGGGAAGGGCCCTTGACCAGGGCCAAAGCCCGCCTCTCGGTCGCTATTTACAAACCAGGGCGCCAGGTGCCTCGAGCATCGCAGAACCACGGGAACCAGGACAGGAGGTAAGACCAGGCTGGTGCTCAGCCCTGCCTGGGCTTCGAGAAGCCAAACTGAGGCCAGCCACAGCCTTGCCCCCAACTCAGGAGGCTCAGGAAAGACCAGGAAATGAAAGGGCGCTCCGAACCGTCCTCCTGGGGAGCAAGGGGCAGACAGCCGTGCGTGTGCCCTCAGCACCGCCTTCACAGGGACAGGACCAGACACAAAGAAGCATAGGGGAAAGTAAAGAGTGGCAGTAAAAATAGT